CCCAGTGAGTTGGTTAGCGTTCTGTACTTTTACAGCTTTGAGAGCGGCGCACATCGGTCAGGCGTGGTGGTTGCAAGGTCAAATGGTTGATTGGTTGCAATTCGAATCTCTATCGATTTAACTGTACTGCGCGTATGTGCGACAGTTTCCGCCATACATACGTTCCGGTGCTGTTCTGGTCTGCTTCTTTTGCGGAATACAACACGTATGAACGACAAAACATTTCTGAGCGCTTATAACTATTTGCTGAAGTTGTAAATATGGTGCGCACTTTCGATTCTCAAGACCAGAATCTCATGTTACGAAACATTAAAACTGATATAAGCACTTTTAATAAATGTGTTGGTTTCTCAGAAATAAGTTTCTTTACTGAAAAGTACATTTTCTTATTAGTGTTATCTACAAACAGAACCTATATTTCCCTTCCGTAGATCACTAGCTTACATTCATTAACTGGTAGGCTGACAATTGCACCATTTCAGATCCGAAAGTCGCTAAACATGCAAAACACAACATTGTTATAGCTGAATAACCATATCCGATGCTGTTCAAGCTGGATAATAGAACACGTAGCAGGCTTATGCTGTACGGCACATGTTCGCGCCAAATGCTAGAGTATCGGTCCATAGACTTCAGAAACGCGAATTTGCATGGTCGCTGATAGATCGAAGGAATCTGCAACAAGTAATGAGTTCAATCAATTTTCTCTCAGAAGGAGTTGCAAGTTACCGCAACTCCTTTTAACCTGCTACAGGTACTTAATTTTGATTTGCAAAAGCATCTGGCAATTTTCTTCAAAGATTCACGTGTACATAAGTTTGCAAACTGCTGACAACAAAAGAGATATGGTTATGTAGGTTAAATCTAAATATTCAACTTTTGAAGTACGTCAGAAACATGGTTGTACACTCGATACGTTCTACCTGCAGTATACGGCGCTCTGCAGTATGCACAACAATATAACTCTCAATAACGAAGACTCAATGAAGTACTGATTCGCTGGTAAGCTTTCTTCCTAATTAGGTCTGCATTGAACTAGAATCGGCCTACATATAACTGTTTTCATAGTTATATATACATATTTACAGGTTATAAATTTTTTTATTTTAACGAGTACCGCTATATTTATAGTATAAAGAAAAATTCTTTTGACGCAGAGATTTTTGCATGTCGCATTTCCATTTGCATTGTGCCTCATGATCTTATAACCTACTACTTATTCCACTGGATTTATATATTGTTGTCACCGTGGAAAACCAAAAGGTGAGAGATAGTTGAGGCTCATCTAGAAGAGAAAGGTTGCTTCTGGTTCTTTTTACCTTCCCATATATAACAGTCGCTAAACTTTAAAGTCACCTAGCTTACGATTCCCCCTCGGTAAGAGAGTTGGAACATCGATTGGTTTCTTTTGATTTGCTGCTGCAAACTTGCCTTTCCTCGCTTAGCTCTTATTACAAAGTCTCATGCCGATTTTATCCCTATGGATTTTCCAAGTTTACATTACAGTGTTGGTCAAATTATTATAAATTTGTAGAATTAAGCAAACTCTTTTCATATTTCCTCACATTTCTCGTAAAAATCAAAGGATTTAACTGTAAACTGGTTACAATGTCCAAGAAAAACATATTGATTGGGGATGCATCAAGGTTAGTATTTTCTAAATGACCCTTTGGCAATTTTCCACGAGTTAAGACCCAAATGCATGTATTGGATAAGTTTTATACAATGTTCAGTCATGCTTTCACTGCGTGCCCAGGTTTTTATAAGTTCTTCAATGAACTGCCGCTTGTTTATGTGTGCCCTGGCCTCCTTCCCCAGCACTGATCTCCTAGTCACCCTTGATCCCTTGGACGTGTACAGGGAAATCAAAAATTGTAGATTACTAAAGCTGCTGGACCTGGCGCTTTAACTCCACTCGCTCTAAAAGATTGAGCGTATTATCTCACGGTATGCTTAACTGCCCTACTCAACCGTTGTCTTACGAGTGGTACAATCCCTGACAGTAGGAGACTTGTAGGGATTATGCCACCGTACAAGAAGAAATCTCAAATTTATCGTCCGATTGTATGTACGTCTATGATGTTAAAAGGTTTTCAGAAACCACTTATACGTCGGATCTTCAAGCGCACCAAGGCAGAGTACGTATGCCAGTTTGCCTGTAAACCCAACCGCTCCATACTGGACGCTTTATCGCACCATGTATATTCGATATCATTGGCGCTGGCTGAAAAATGCAGAGCAATGCGCCTACTGTTTCTCGATTAGTCAGATGCTTTTGGGAGTGTCAACATATCCATTTAACTCAACCAGTTGCTTGCGAGTGAGGTAAAAACAAAAGCCTGCAGCGTGATCACAGACTGCTTTACAAACCGCACCCACTTCACCCAGCTTAACGGAAAATTTCCTCGACACTTTGCTCCTAATGGGCTGTTTTACAGGGAGAGATTCTCTCTCCTTTACCGTGTTCTTTATATATCGAAAACCTCACTATAGCTTCCAACTTTATTGGATGCAAGTATGTAGCTGATGTCGTTATATGATGTATGTCGCCAACCGTCGATAGATCTACTCTTCAGAGTGGTCTAGATGAGTTTGTGCTGAAAGCTTAGACTCGGTCTCTCGTTCTAAACATATCTGAATGCCGTGATGTAAGTTTCTTTTCTTCGGGTTGATCAGTTGCAAGCTATTCCCAATGCCACTTCCTCACTGAAAGTGAGTGAAAAACTCAAACCCAGTCCATCGCCTGTCAGATATCTAAGTTTTTTGTCCCAAAACCTATCATGGTCGACCCATGTCATTGAAACATTTGTCAACACTAGGAGACTATCTTTTTATGCTTATCAGACTTAGAATGCTTCGCGTACCTCGTGATTGGTCTTAAATTTATGACTGCATGCATTCAGCCTCACTGGCTTTACTGTTCACCAGTAATTTTTCCTGGGTTATTAAACGAAGAGTACATATTGCTTTTACGTTCATTACAACTTATTGCTAGATGCAGTGAACTGTCTACAGCTGTACTTGCTTATTTTATTCCCAGCAAGCATGTAGACGCTTGTATTAGCGTTTCCTTCGGAGTGTTAAACGACCCTTTTCCTCCGCTGCTGAGTACTTACACTCTCAAAATTCATGCACTTATATACTCGTACGGCTTCTCACCGCAATTCTTTCCTACCGTCTTTGTTACGATTACTTATGGGCGCAGCGAAACTCATCAGCATGATGCATACCTGTTTGCTTAAGTGATACACAAACCTTTTACGTTACACAATTCATTCGTTTTTGTTTATTACATCTCATATATTTCTCCATTCGCAGTGATAGTATAAAAACCGGAAAATGTATCTACCCAGGTCGATAAAACCTATTTTGACTTGACTGGTCTTGTTTATCATAATTTTTTTCTTTATCTGCCTTTAGAATTACTCATAAGTTCTCTTTTGGATTCCTGTCATGGCTATAACAAGGCCATAACAACAGTTCGGGACCACAACCCGCTAGAAAACGGGTTACTTCGCCCTCCTTGTTCAATGGAGCACTGTCCTGTATAAAAATAAATTCTCCCGTCTCAGTAACTCCATTTTTCTTCGCCCATTCACACAGCTGATGGACCACTTGGTGCTCTAGTAGTGATCGTTCTGCCGGTGGTTCATGTTATCATAGATGATGCAGAGCCGACCAGTTCCGTAAACGCTCATAACACTCCATATTATGACCTGAGTGTGATGGATGACTCATTGAATGATACATTCTTCCATAATCTGTTTTCCAGGTAATCGAAGGACATATAATGATTGCAGTCAGAGTACCGGAAAATACACTGATCGCTAAAAAGCACCTAAAATATAACTCAGAATAGCGCTTGGGATTACTGAAGCAACGTAGGCAAAATTTTCCTTTTAAATCCTTATAAAAATAAAGTTTTTTGTTTCTTACACGCTCCCAGTTTTCTGTTGACCATGTGTCCAGTGGGTTAGCCCATTCCTGCCGAACAGAATCAAAAGTAGACTACTCAAGGTCCTTGAACTTACTGTAACACCATGCTGTTCTAACATACATTGTAACTACCTGCTAGATCATTTGGGATTCTGTTCATTCTCTAAGCAAGATTGAGTTATCTTGATGTGTTGATACCCTTCTGCAACCACATTTACCAGAAGGTTTAACGGACAGGGATAAAGTATACTTCAATTTCTTTGCAATTTGGTATACAGACGCTAGGCTAACGGCAATCCTGGAACCAACTCCTGATCATTTAACATCTTCTTCCAACAAAATTTTAATTTTTACACGTTTCCGATGGGTGAGGTTATGTAATTTGACCCTTAATATGATAATTCAAGCTGGAAAACGTCGATCATTACGGTTTTGTCGGGACTGGAGAAGATAAAAGGGAAAATAAAAATGCAAGCAAATAACTATAATTATCATTTGATCCAAAACCAGACGTATGTAATCAAGAAAAGTTGATTTCAGTAGGAAGTAAGAAATTTGGGTTAAAACGTAGCTGTAGGTTTACATAATCACTGTACATGTAACATCAAGCAATTTGTCATCATTTGCAAAACTCACTCATTCCATGTCAGTACGTGTTACTTTTTGAAATTTGTCAAAGGATCATTTACAAAATGCTAATCCTGATTCATTTCTAATCAGTATGTTTCTTTTGTAAAATGTAATCAGTTCACAGTAAATCAGTTTATTCGTAAGAGAAATATGAAGAATTATGAAAAAGTGCCGATTTTAATAAAGTTATGACAATCTGGCCAACACTCTATGTCGTCTGCTAATTTTCCTTCAGTCTGCTTTCGATTTCTGCCATTAATTTTTCTACTTCACGTGATGGGCACAATGGGGTATACTAGTGCATAGCACGTGGGCATTGCTTGGTTGATCGTGGTGTGATGCACGCGGGTTTGTTCATTCTCACATGACACATCGATTCGCAAAAGCTATCCTGGATCAATGATCGTTTCCAAACAGAACATCCGCGAGATCTTATTGTTCTTGTCCTATTTGAACTTTAACGTTGGTTTCTCTGGATGCTGCCAAGGTCGTTGGGGATCGTAAGGAGTAAATGTTGTTTTCAACATTCATTATGCCCGTTGGAGTACTGCGTGCAGGTATGTCCCCTATGTTGATTCGCCGCAGGATGACAGTTGAAAGTGTTTTCAGTACTGGTATTAACTAACTGGCATCTAGTTAGTATGTGGGACGAAAAACTGTCGGTAATGATGGAGAAAATCGTTTAAATAAAAAGGATTTTGCTAACACCTATGTATAGCTGGGTGTAGGTTCACTACAGTAAAATATATTTTGTTTCACAGTGATAAATCAGCACTCTTGTAGTTATTAGTTTACTGTGTTTCAATGTACGCTCAAATGTATCTGTTTCATTTGCAACACATTGTAACCTACGTTATGGAGACGAAATTACCACCGGGTGCTTGTAGGCAGTGGGTACAGGGCTACAGCTCTACGGTGCGATGTCTCGTGGTCCGCAACAATGCGCAGACGGGCAGCACGAAACCTGCGTTAAGGAAGCCCGCGTTGACCGTACAGGCTGTACGCTGTTTGATAGAAATCTGCACTGCATGTGACTAGTTGATTAATGTCCTCGGATACTGAGTATACTACATTTTGGAAACTTATAATTTGCGACGATTTTCAATTTTGATGCAGGTTGATTGTACTCCAACTCAGTTAGACAGCTGTTGAACGTCATTTCGGGAATCATCATTAGTCGCTTTCCGTACAGACTCTATTGGGCCAGAGAAACCGATAATCGAATCTAAACGAAGTTTCGTCGCACTGTGCTGGGTGAAAATCGATTATCCAGTTTGTCTCATCCTGATCGGATGCCCAGCTTGCTAATTTTTTCTCTACAATATGGGTGCTTACAAGGTGACCCGATATTTAAATAGCGTAAACTGCTTAGTCATATTGGCCTTGATTTATCACGACTGTTCCATCAAGCTCAGAAACTAAATCGCGGGAACAACCGTTGAAATGGCATAACTCACGATGTGATCTTGCGGGCCGATGGTCATTTGTCTCTTGAGCGTACCACTCTAGGACGTGGTACTAACATCAACGGGGAAGTAGTTTGAACATATGTACTTCGCCCCTGGGTTGTGCCTTTAACATTTCTCCTTGGTTTCCTAACTTCTAGTTCCTTGACTTCACACCTATTAATGTTAATAATACTTCAGTATATATTGCTGTGATTTATCACGGTCTAGGTATTTTGCGTGACTTATTGCCCTTTATTTACTTATTATTCACGTGGCCAGTACATGGGAGACTGCTAGTGTATGTCAATTGAACATGAATTCATTGCACGGATTTAGAATTAAAAATTTGGCCTATCATGGCTCTAAATAGAGTCTATGAACGGTATCTTGATTTTAAGAAGCACACAAGAACTAGCATCCCCGGGTGTTTCCCAATGACCAAATTCCATTTGAAGTTGGGCTTGTTCGCACCAGCCGATTAGCTCAGCTTCGGTTCCATATAGGCATCTGTAATAACGTCAGGCAGCTCGCCCTCTGGTGTTACCCAGACGCAACTACGGTTTATCTCTGCTTATTTCTGGGTGGCTGTGATGAACGTAGCCAAGTAGCTGCGAGTTGAAGGTCATAATGGTGGCTAGGCTACCTAAAATTGTCAAAACATTCCGCAGCATTACACTTAAAAAACTTACAGTAAATCGTTTTTGTACAACTTTGACTACGTAAAGGATATAAATGTTTAGTGTATTCCGAAAATGTGGGATCCGACTGTTGCCAGTTATGCCGCTTTGGACGTACTTTTTCGTGATTTCGCTAAATCCACCTACACTATAAGCCATTTGCCGCCCAGCCCAACATGTGTGTTATTTTGAAATATCTAGCAACCCTTTCAGTAAGTGGCAACATTCCCGTTTGGGAAAAAAATGACAGTTACGTGTGTGGTGCAAGCTCTCTTTGCGACAAATTGGCTTTAACATCACCTCGTACCCTCACAGGAAAGGTGCGTGCTGGCTATTTATCGCGCCTTGTTATCGAACGCCAGAGCTTACTTCTAAAAGCCGTGTTTGCAGCATTCACTTTTTGTGTTTAATCGTAGTCCTCTCTCGGTCAGACAGGCTCTCACACGTCTGGAAATGCACCAGCCGGCCCTTTTGACCTTCTGGCTCTCACCAGTGTTGCGTACTCCTCGAACCCCTGCAGTTCCTACCCCATAACTTCCGGCTGCCAGCAGGTTGTCCCACTAAGCTACTGGGGACGGCGGCAGACTTGCGTGACTGATAGCTGACTACGATACAACACGGCCCGTTCTCTACTAGCATGCCAGTTACGAACAGTGAAGAGGAGAGTGGTTGGTCCCAGAGCTACGGCTTTCTGTACAACGACTGTGTACGACATAGCACTTTAACTCTGTACAGACAAATCTTTGATTACTTAACAGTAGTTGGGATTCAGTAAAAGTTTGGTGTAGTTCCTCTCATTCCTCTCTCAGTCAGGTGGGTTCCCACACGTAACCGACACGTTAGTGGAGGATAAGCCGCGCTTTATCATAGTCAACTATCAGTTACGCAAGACTGCCGCTGGTACTAATGGCTTAGTAGCACAAGCTGCTGGCATCCGGAATATATGGGGTAAGGACACGGAAGGGGTCCGAGGGGCGCGAACCACTGACGAGAGTCAGAAGGTCAAAGCGGCAGGCTGGTGCTTTTCCGGACGTGTGGTGGCCCGTCTTACAGAGAGAAGACTACGATCAACTACATCTAAGTTTTACTCATTGTCCCACTACTACGGCGCATTCACTGTTAAACAACTTGTGAGCTGGCCAGATGGTCTTCATATCAAGAGCGGATTTACACCCCCCTAACTAGTTCACCCTTCCAAAAAATTTTGTTTTCTTACAAGGCATAATTCTATCCTTCGCTTAAACGAAATTACCCCTTCCTCTCCTTGATAATCCGTAACGTCACCGGCACAGCTGGGGCTGATAACTCTGTGTACCTAGGTATCTATTGTTGACGGTGGTTTACACTGGGTTGGGAAAAAGTGACGGTAGTCTGCAAGCCCACTGCTGTGGTTGCAGTTACTGAAACCAGACTATCACAGTAAGCTACTTAGTAAGTAGACTCTTTGAGCTTCTAGTAAACATGAACCGTACCTGATTCCGGTATTTTGAGGCACTGGATTTTATTCTTATTTATATCTGCCGATCGTCCTCTTGTTTAACTTATTGCTGTCCTAGTGAGTCAAGCTGCATACTGCTGTCTGCTTTTGTTTGGATGTACTCCATGTTTTGTAGCTTTTGACAATACACGTTGGGTCCAGATGATCTACTTGTTCCCCCTACTTCCGTAATCCACACGCTTCATATGTTTCACCTCTTGTGATTCGCAACTTTGTAGAACCCAAAAATTGGTGAACCCAACTGCAAACACAGTACCGCCATCACAGTCATCATTTTCGGTGAAGTCGTTCCTTTCCACCTCCGAAATGTCTTTTGCAACTATTATTTTGTGAGATTTTATAAATCACTTGGAAACTAATATTTTTAGCTCATCTATTAACGCTGCATCCCTGTATCTCCCCCTATCCGATTTGATGGCCATCATTTTTGGTTTGTCTTGTTGATGCATGACGTTTTGCGCCATAATATTCTTTTAGACCTATCCAAACGTTTTCATTTGCTAGGTAACCTTACTAGGGACTTCACTTTATAGTTTCAAGACAACTTTTCCAGACCAAATACAGATATTTCCTATGAGCCTTTTAAACAGAGGATTTGGACCGGACTGGAACAACCAGCAAGTACGCGAATCCAACAACTCTTTCATGGTTTGCATTTAGGGGATAGGAGGCCATCAGGTCTATTGGATGAGATGAACAGACTCTTCGGTTCGTATTCAATGGATGACTCCATCCTCATGGAACTATGGCTGCAGCAACTACCCGAATCAGCTACCGTCATATCCGCCTAAGTAGCTTCCTTCACTCTAGCCGCGCAACCGGTTGTTGTGGTCATACAGCATCTTTTTAAGGAAGTAGTTCGCGCAACACTACCCGCTACATATCCGCCGAATAGCACTAATGCTTCTCAGCAGCCACCTACTTCCTGCAGTTATCATGCAGCCCGTGCTTCGAATCCCTGTGAGCTGACCTTAGTACTTAACGAAATAGAGGCGTAACATAGAGCTCACTGTTCCACTTTAGCACTTAATAAGTCACCAGCAAGCCCTTCAGCCTGCCACGCAACAAACTCTGCTGGTATCACCGCCGCTGTGGCCCACAGGCGAAGTGATATACTGCACCTTGCACCTTTCCCACAGTTTCTTGATGCGATGGCTACCGCAGAGGATAATCAACGGTGCCCTATCTGCTGCATCGAACAGGGTAGCTAGGGGTGTGGATGCTAATGCGCAAGTCTTCCCATCTTCTTACTCCCCCTTTTACGCTTTTTCTCTTGCTGTCCCGTTCCAGGTTCACTTTTATCCTTCTGTTTTCAACCCCCCAATACTTGGCTTCCCCCACCTTGCTTTGATAGGCTTTTACCTTCTAGTTTCAACCCTCGTGTGAGGGCGGAGTTTCATTCCTGTCCTGTCGACAAGCCCATGTCCAACCAAGCCAAGCCCACTTCATCGACTTGCATTCGGAGCCTTCGGATTGGCATGCCTCAATATACGCACATTGCTGCAAATCCGTCAACTGGCAGCACTTGCCCGAATATTGGAGACCCTCTCGATCGATATCTGCTGCTTATCGGAGACCCGCCTGCAAGACTGGAGCTCTGTACTCACTCTGTGATCCCATTCAGGTGACACCATCAGCACTGTCTTATTGCGCCTATCCGTAGATGCAGCTTCGAGCAGCGGCCAAACCGGGGTTGGTGTTGCCCTGAGTCCCCGGGCTGAAGTTACTCTGGTTGACTGGATTCCAATCAGTGGCCGGTTGTGTGAGGTCCGATTGGCTGGCTCGTTCAAACCTTCGAAGTCGCGCAGGACTAACAGTTGTCTATTCGTCATCGCTGCCTACGCACCCACAAACAATAGCGATGAATCAGGAAAAGACGATTTCTATCGCCAATACAACGAGCTCCTTCGCCACAGAAGAAGCTCGGACTCTGTTGTACTGGCTAGAGATCTGAACGCTCAAGTTGGAAAAGTATCCACTGATGAACTGCATCTGGGCGGGCAGCACGGTGTATGCTCCCGTAATGATAACGGTGAGCGGTTACTTCATTTGTGTGAAGACGCTCGCTTATTTCTTGAGAGCACTAATTGCCGACACAGCACCCTCCGGAGGGTGACTTGGCGCCCACCAGTTTCGAACGAGATACGGATGCAAATCGATCACATTGCGATAAGTTACCGATGGAGAGGCTGCGTCCAGAACTGTCGCTCGATTTAGAGCGCAAGTGTGGACACCCACCATGCACTTGTATGTACTGACTAGCGGATGCGTTTCGGCGGACGCCCAAGACGACGCTGTGAGGGCATTGACACCAGCCAACTGGTAAAGCCAGCTGTTCAGAATGTCTATCAAAGTATGCTATCATGAGAGTTGAGTAAGCAATCACTGGATCCAGTTGAAGCTCTCTGGTCTCATATTCACCAGACCTTATTAGCAGGGACCCAATCCTCATGTAATAAGTCTAATCGCCAACATGGACATTAGGTCTCTTCGCAGTCTCCGAAACTTATCGATGCTCGCCGGCATATTCCGGATGGAAGCGAACACAAGGAAACTCGCAAAGAGCTCCGGGCAAAACTCCGTGCTAACCTGAGGAGAGATCGCGAATCTTGGTGGTCACTTCATGCTTCAGCGAAGGAAATAGCCGCTGCCCTTGGTAACCATCGTAACTTATTCCGGCCGACACGGGAAACGGACAGCAGGAGACCTGGTGTTAGTGAAACTATACGTGACGAGAGGGGAGAGGCTATCCACTACTTGTGGAAACGCTTGGAGCTTTGGGCTGAGCTCTTTGAAAGGCAATTTAATCGGTCGAAATTCTTAGATTTCTCGCCGACCACTAACCGCCCCGCTCCCTGGGTTGTCCCTGTGGATCCACCCTCTCGCTCAGAAGTCGAACGTGAGATCGACTGCTGAAGTTAAATAAAGCCTCGTGACCAGGTGATCTTCCTCCAGTCCTCTTCAAATTCGGGGGACCTGCTCTGGTGGATGATTTATACGAGTTAATAGTGAAACTGTGGGAGCAGGAAACTGTCCCAACCGACTGGAGCCGCTCCGTCATAGTCCCAATTTACAAGGGAGGCTCACGATCGGAATGCGGCAACCATAGAAGAATCAGTCTGATCTCCATCGCCTCCAAATTGCTTGGCTCTGTCATCCTTCGCAGACTGACTGGCACTTGTGAAAGCCATATTCGTGAAGAGCATGCCGGTTTTCGTCGAGGTTGTGGCTGCAATGACCACATCTTCACTTCGCGTCAGTGGTTGGAGCACCGTCACATATATTGGCGGCCCAACGTTGTCGTGTTCCCTGATATCAAAGGTGCACTCGATTCGGTGGATAGACGTGCACCTTGGGACTGTCCACTCTGGAAATGTGTGCCCGAGAAATATGTAAATATTATCCGATCATCATATGCGCGTAGTTCAGGCAGAGTGAGGTCTTATGGTAAGCTGTCGTCGCCCTTTAATATCTCTAGCGAGATGAGACAAGGATGCTCTCTGTCACCTCTCCTCTTCAACCTTGATATTGACGAAGTCATGGAAATCGCGTTCACAGGACACGAGTTAGGCGGTGTGGATCTGCCCTCGGGAGAATGACTTCTTGACTTGGAGTATGCTGACGATATTGCCCTAAGCTCTGGCAGCTCCCAGACGTACCAAGCGGCACTAGACAGAGTAGCATTGGCTGTAAGTCGCTTCGGACTTTGCTTTCCACCACCGAAGTGCAAAGTGTTCCTCCAATATTGGCCTGGACCGCCTGCTTAGCTGACCGTTGGTGGGGATCAGCTAGAAGTCGTTCAAAACTTCAACTACCTGGGAAGTTGTATCAGCGCCTGTTGGATTGAAAGTGAGAACATGAACCGTATAGCAAAAGCTCGAGGCACTTTGCTAACCTTTGCTACTTATGGAGCCGGCTTGACATCACTCTCGCTCTGAAGGGTAGAGTGTACAATGCAGCGGTACGTTCGACCCTACTGCAAGGTAGTGAAACCGGGCCTCTTAGGGCAGCGGACCTAAAGAGGCTAGTTACGTTCGGTCACCGGTGTCTTCGCAGTTTGGCTCACATCTGTCGCGAACACCGTGTGAGCAACGAGCGTGTTCGACGTCTTATTTATGGCACAGGAAGAGGAAATGAACCGCTCAGAACCGTTATTTCACGAACCAGATTCCGATGGCTTGGTCATGTGTTACGCATGCCAGTCCACCGGCTCCCGCAACGTGCTTTGTTTGTGCGCCTGGTTTGTGGATGGAAGAAGAGGAGAGGTGGCCAAGCGATGACTTTGTCGAGAGGAATGTAGGTCCTCACTTCGAAGCTGACCTCAGTTGTAGCGTCTCAGCTCCCTGATTGGATTCCGAAAGACGATGAACGCGTTTGGCTGGATACACTTGTTTATCTGGCTAGGAGCCGACCTCATTGGCGTTCGTGTTGTGAGTTCCTTTGTCCCACCCATCCCTCTTAGCTTCCCCCCATCAAACCCGATCTCATTGTTTAGCATTTGGCATTTTATAATTTTGCACAGTAAATTATTTTTCTGCTGCATAGTAGCCGGCAGGTAGCTTACCGGAACGATACAAATCCGTTACCGGTAGCTCAGCTGTCTTACACCTGTTGCATTTTATTCCCTCTTTTCCTTTAATGTATTACGACACAGTAGCTGAGGTGTTTTCCACCTCCGGCCGACATGTATAGTGTGGGTTTGTATCGGGGTAAATTGGGCACCGTATAGCAAACTAAATAATTGAATTGCCACAGCTTCGGTAATAGCCGCCTTTATGTTTAGGACTGCAAATCCGGATCCGTGTTCCTGGTTGAAACCTGGGTTGAAGTAAGTGTGGTTCCTCCCACACCTAGGTAGAAGACACAGCCGTCCACATTCAATATTTTTGGTGCGAACTGTACACTTATCCCTACATACGGCCAATGGTTTTTAACATAGACATTCAGAAATTTTCACTAGATATATATTATTACCCACGTTCCGTTTCTCACTTTGTTAGAAACTTCATTACACACTGCGACCACTTGGTCGTAGCAAAACCAATGAGGATAGTCAACACCTCAACGACAATCAGCATCCCAGGCACCATAGCCGATATCTTAGCCATCAAACCCGTCTATGTTTTTCCAGAGACCTCTTCCTACTACGCCGAACTTTTCGCTCACTGCCTTTAGCTCGTTCAGCCAATGAATGCAGCTGATTCCCTAGCGTCTTAGCTCACACATCATATCCGGACTAACGACGCATCCATTTAATCACGCCCGCGCCGACTTTCGCCGGATGAGCTCAAACTAGTTAGAGAGGAGTTTGTGCATATGCTTGCATTTGGAATAATAGGTTCTTCAGTTAGTTCTTCGTCTCTTTTTTGTTATATGTCTTGCGGCACAGTAGCTAAGATCTTTTCCACTTCTAGTTAACGTGTAAAATGATGCTGATGTGTTGGTGGTCCTCTTTACTCCAGGTGATCCCTAAGAAGTTTGGAGACTGACGTCCTTGCGGTAATTACCGGGAACTAAATAAACTTACGGTCCCCGACAGTTACCCTGTCGCGCACACACAGGACCTTACTGCATGCCTCACAGGTAAGACGGCCTTCAGCAAGGTCGATCTTTTCTTGCCTATTACCAGATACCTGTTGAGGAAAGTGACATGCCTAAAGATTTCGTCATCACCCCTTTCGGCTTGTTCGACATTTTAGAATGTCGTTTAGACTGTGCAATGCCGCGAACAACTTCTAACGCTTCCTGCACGGATTCACTCCTTGCCTAGACTTTACTAATCCCTATCTCGACGACATTCTTGTAGCCAGTTCATCCGACGGAAAGCAACCCGTTCATCATCAGTCGCTCTTCCAATGGTTGACTCAACACGGTGTCCCCGTTAAGCCGACTAAGTATGAACTTGGCAAGTCCACAGTAGAATTCCAGGGCCACCTCGTTTCGTCGTCTGGTATCGAGGTCCTCGCGGACAAGTTCCAGGCTGTTGTGTCTCCACTGACGTCTTCTCCCCACGACCGCAAGAAGAAGTCCAAGAAGAGCCAGTAAGAGACTTGCAAACATGAAATCACATTTGCTTATATAGTTTTGAAGGCAAAATATAGGGAAGCTACTAAATTACACTTGAGCCAACCAACAGAAGGAAAAGCGTCAAATGCAATGGGAGAATAGGCAACCGTGTACTCACGAGCGAATGGCATGTGTCCTCAAAAATAGCATCATGGGACTCCAAGCGTAAATGCGAACATCCATTTACAGTGACGGACACAGGCCAAACAGAATAACGAAATGTATCTTTTAAACAAATGTCACGAAACGAACAAGAACAGGAAATGCAGACACAAAAATAAAAAGCAGTACAATAATTGGGTGATAACTAAATATCCCTTTAACATAACCAAGTAGAAAAAGAGATGCGGAGAAAAATCAGCGAAATGTGTTTTTACAGATGGCACTACTCAAGAGGACACGGTGATGAGCCTCCACTAACAATGACGTGCGTGTACCAATCGGGCTAACACAGAGGAGCATTTAAACAACAATCAAGAAGTAGAAAATAGGAAGAATAAAGAGTAGCTAGTAAGCTCGCTCGCACAAAACATGAATGTCTAATAGCTGTTCTCCTAATACCTCCCTCTCTTAAAAAATGACTTACCTGAGTTCACATAGCTCTTCTGACGCGGATCCACCTGGAGCGGCTGCACAAATCATTTTGTTTCCTTTGGCCTGTACCGGGCTTAATTTTCTATGCATTCCATGGGCCGAACTTTACCATCTGCAGAGGTACTAGACTTGCCATTGTCCAGCAATTCATTGACATCAAATCCGTTGGGTTTCCGAACGACCGCACCAGATGTATACCACGACCCCAATTGATTGACGAGGCGTCTCCATACTTGTGTACCAACTTGAACATCATACACCACCTTGCCTCGGCGTCACGCAACTCGTCCTGGTATCCAAGCGTTCCGCCGTCCTTGGTTAGCAGCCGCAAACACAAAGTCGCGTACTTTGCAAATCCTTTTTCGCGCCCCATACCGACTGTTGTATTGACGCTCCATCACTGAATTGCTTAGTAGTAGAAGCGGACGCTTGGGAGTCAGCAAATCTAGTGTGATTCTCAATCTTCGACACATAAGGGCTTCAGCTGGTGATTTCCCTTCTGGTGTATTAGGATTCGGAGTAACTCGATAGTTCAACAGGAAACGTCCCAATCTTTCGTTCAACGATCCCTCCTCTTTTGACTTCCACAATGCTCGTTTCAGAGTATCAACAAATCTTTCCGCTTGGCCATTTGACTGCGGATGATACGGGGCGGTCCTCACATGCTCGATCCTATTATGTGCGCAAAATGCAGCAAATTGGCAGGACGTAAACTGTGATCCGTTATCCGACACGATTGTTACTGGTAATCGGTGCTGACCGTAGATATGTCTCACCGCAAAAATTGGGCTGTTTGCCGACGTGTTTTGCATAGTGATTACCTCCGGCCTCTTACTGTAGGCGTCAACAATAACGAGGAAATGCACTGCTTCTACTAGTCCCGCGAAATCCACGTGTATGCGCGACCAGGACGAGTCTGGGTTTTTCCAAGATTGTAATGTCGCACGTACCGGTAATTTGGAGGCACTGATGCATCTAGAGCACGCTCGGCCAATGTCTTCAATTTGGCTGCCCATCATGGGTCAAAAAACGTAGCTGCGCGCAAGCGCCTTCCTGCGATCAATTCCTGGACGGTCCTTGTGCAGTTGTCGTAACACGCATGATCTGAGTATTTCTGCAATGACAATGCGATCTGCAAAAAACAGGCAGGAAGCAACTTCAGACAAAGCGTTGCGTCGTGTGAAAAACTGTGTCAAAGCTACTTTCGGACACTTCTTTTGCCAGCCCAGTCTTGTGTAGGTCAATACTTCTTGCAGCAAAACATCCTGTTCGGTGGCTTGCCTAACCATCGTACTTTTGACCGGTACATTTCTCACGGCGTCATGTACTATGTAGCTGACATCCATTTCGGCTGCGATGGAGGCGATGACTGCGTCTTCCGACACACACTTACCGGTATCGATTAATATGGTTAGGGTGTCCGCTTGCCCTATAGAATCAGTAGACAAGTATCGCATGCTGAAATCATATCCCAAGTGCAGAGTTGCCCATCGCTGAAGTCGACTGGCCGTATATGCTGGAATCCCCTTTTTGGATCCAAAGATTGTCGGAAGCAGTTTGTGACCAGTCACCAACGTGAACCGTCGACCAAATACCAGCTTATGCAACTTCTGCACGGCAATGATGATAGCCAACACTTCGTTCTCAACCTGACTATAGTTCTACTTGGATGACGTCAACGCTCATGCAACATGTGCTATCGCCTTTTCGGATCCACCTAGAAAAGGATGTAAAATCACAGCACCAATCCCATAGATTGCACCATCCGTGGCCACGATACTTTCCAACTTCGGATTATAATGCGTAAGTAATAAGTCCGACTTCAGCAGGGATTTCAGCTGCTCGAACAACTGTTGACACTGTGCAGACCATTTCTATTAGACGTCTTTCATCAGCAGATGGTTTAGAGGATGACGTAAGCGATGCATGCATGGTAGAAATTCACTATAGTGACTACCCATTTCAAGGAATGACCGTAAACTTGCGACATCCGATGGCGCCGGCAACCGCTCTATCACCTCGATATTTTCGGGATCGGGTCTTCGGCCGTTCTGGTGAATCACGAAACCCAGGAACTTAATTGACTTCAGGAAAATCTGCACTTGTCCGCTCATAATCGGAAACCATAATCTTTGATTCTCTGCAGCATGTTATACAATCGTTGAAATAATTCATCTTGCGTCGAGCCCATTATGATCATGTCGTTCAGGTAGGCTGCCGCTCCAGTTACACTCGTTAGCATGGCATCCATGACTTGCTGAAAGATTGCCGGTGACGTTTTGACTCCAAATGGCAAACGGTTTTACTGCTAGAGCTCGCGATGCGCATTGATCGTTAGAAGCTTACTGAGTTCGGGTTTAACTACTAACTACAAGTAAGCATCTACAAGATCACGAGTAGCAAAATACTTGCATCCCTTCAGCTGTGCAAACAAGTCCGCAGGGAGTGGAAGCGGACACTTTTGCGGTGCCAGTGTAGCATTCCGGCCGTTGAAAAATCTGCACACAAGCGAATAGAACGGTTCGATTTCCTAATCACAACAGTAGGCTCAGTCCACGGTGAGAAGTTGACTCGCTCGATCGATCCGGCCTGCTGCAACTGAACAAGGTCCTGATTAACAGGTGCTTGGAAAGCGTAAGCGACAGGAACCCTGGGTAGAAACACGGGTCTGGCATCCGGAAGCAAAGTAAGCTTTGCCTGCATTTTCTTACAGTATCCAAGTTACGACTGGAGGACACACGCACGCTTCGTTTGAAGATGTTTAGAGATGCTTTGACCCGGAGGAGTCAGTATGGTTGTATGGTGAAATGAGATATTCCTCTCAGTACAGACACCACTCAGTGGGAGAATGAGCAAGATCAGCTTCTTATTTCATTTGATACCAAAAAGATTAACGTCTTGGTGTGAGACTATACCATTTTACAGGCATGTTAGCGCATTGTACCAAGCTTTTAGCTGGCACAATTTTGAAATCGTGTGCGGTGCTTTCAAATTAGCGCGGCTAAGAACGCTATTTTGGCGTCGTTGACACTCTCATTGGCCATGCGACGTTAGCCAATGGAACACCGGTTGGAAGCCACCAGTATAAGCGACAGACATTCCAATGAAAGTGGTCGAGCACCACCTTCTGTTCTATTTTAATGCCTATCTGAAGGAAACCTCGATGATTGATCTCCAAACTGAAACCGTCCAATGGACAACTTGTGATGCCTGTCTAAGGAGGAGATTCTGGCTATCAAATGATTCGAAGCTTAAGACGTAATCAGTGCGGACAGACATAGGAAGCAGCACATGAGGCGGTCTGTAGTGGTCGCTAGCGGCTACCTGGTGGTGGCTTATTCAGCGGCCTAACCATGGTGGCTTAGACAGGCAATCATCTAACTGGCATTGAGCAGTTCAGCAATGGCTGCTAGGCACTTAGGCAATGTTGTGCGATTATTATTGCGACGATCATGGGGGACATTGTTCCCAATGAAGTTGGTAGACTAACCTGAAGCTGAACCACAAAAGTGCTATATTTGTTTACTTCTATCAGAGTTGATGACTCAACAAAAATATAAGAGGATTCCAAGTGTGACGTCGACATGAGGTTAGTGGGTGTTCGTTTGTCTCCACGCCATGGGTGACTTTGTTAATCAGTTATCGCTTCAGTGTCTCCATGTATTTCGTTATATAATGGTCATGGAACCTGTGTATTCATAGGATAATTAGGCTTCACTTCCATATGGTTGCCCATACGTGTTGAGACGCTTTGACAGGTGGCTCTCCGATTGGCACAATTGGAAGCACAGTCAACTCAGATGGAACCTCCCTATTACGTCCATGGACTGGAATTCTATCCTCATGAAATCGGCATTTCTCAAAAAATAATCACCTAAAAGGGCTAAAATGACTACGGTGTTTATACATGCCAAATCGTACTGCGAGAAAAAAGCAAGGCTTATAATTGGTGGCGACGCGAGCATTTTACTCTGGTAATTCAGGTGAGTACTTGGAACAGACAAACACTGTTGTTTCACCCACGGGCGTTCCTACAATGTGTTTGCAATCATTTACAAGGGCAACCGCGCCCACTAATCGCGCTATGGGCCAATGTTGCAGCTGGTCTTAGAAGCAGTCAAGTGTGCACGCCGTGACACAGGTTGTTTTCGACTTGGCAACTACTAGGGAACATTTTGTTATTGGAAAGTAGGTAATTCCGGTGGCATTGTTGAAGAAGGAAGATTGCTCCAAACTCTACGCTTACTATGCGTAGACAATGCTCGTGGGCAGATCATAACAGGGCCGTAGGGTCACTTGGTATTTCAAACTTATCAATCGCTTGGAAGTGAAGTTTAAATATCATGTTGAAAAGCAGGCTTGACACGCATCTTACGACCTTAACATAAGTGCAGGTCCATGGGTCCTGTAGCGGTAATTGATTACCGAAGTGGACCACAGGTGTGGAGAGAACGAACGCTCACTAATGTCGTGTCACCGCCGCAGTAGGAACCCTCTTCTTTGGAACAATGGCTACAGATCCACTGATTGTCTTACTTACCAAGCGAACTTTGGCTTGGTATACAATGTGCCGACTACATCAGTAGTACGTAGCCACGCTATTCACATGAGTGTACAGCCAACTGCAAAAACACAGCACGAGATCTTTGTAGCTGTAGCGCTTTTAAAAATGCTATTTGCGAACACGTTCTAGCTTTACCTCCTTCATACTAATTAGTGCATTGTTCCTGATTACCTCACACCGCCTTAACAATCACACGCATATCCTAAGGGAAATCGCACACCTATCAATTCTCCAGATTGCTCGCAGTGGTACGATTACGCTATGCACACCTTGTGACTTATGGCCAGATAGGCAAGCGAGCAAGGAAGGCAACCGTGCAGTCAACCTGTAAGCCTACAAAGCTTCTCTTTCAACACCCTGCAAGAGTTGTAGCCTCAACGCCAGCAAAAAATCCGCTCCTTATCACTACTCAGTTAGATGTCACCTCGCTCGTGTAAGCCTTCAAAGCTTCTCTTCCAACAGCCTGCAAGGGTTGCTGCCTAAACAAAAACAACCAATCCGCTTCTAATTACCACTCACTTAGATGTCATCTCGCTCGCGTGGTAGTGACACCTTACGCCAGATTGGCAGCACGACCACTCAGGTACAACATCTCCGATCGACTGATCACCCTCGACAAGACAATGACCTTTATAAAGCACCATACATGCAGACACTGAAGCGATAACTGATTAACAAAGTCACCCATGGCGTGGAGACAAACGAACACCCACTAACCTCATGTCGACGTCACACTTGGAATCCTCTTATATTTTTGTTGAGTCATCAACTCTGATAGAAGTAAACAAATATAGCACTTTTGTGGTTCAGCTTCAGGTTAGTCTACCAACTTCATTGGGAACAATGTCCCCCATGATCGTCGCAATAATAATCGCACAACATTGCCTAAGTGCCTAGCAGCCATTGCTGAACTGCTCAATGCCAGTTAGATGATTGCCTGTCTAAGCCACCATGGTTAGGCCGCTGAATAAGCCACCACCAAGTAGCCGCCAGCGACCACTACAGACCGCTTCATGTGCTGCTTCCTATGTCTGTCCGCACTGATTACGTCTTAAGCTTCGAATCATTTGATAGCCAGGATCTCCTCCTTAGACAGGCATCACAAGTTGTCCATTGGACGGTTTCAGTTTGGAGATCAATCATCGAGGTTTCCTTCAGATAGGCATTAAAATAGAACAGAAGGTGGTGCTCGACCACTTTCATTGGAATGTCTGTCGCTTATACTGGTGGCTTCCAACCGGTGTTCCATTGGCTAACGTCGCGTGGCCAATGAGAGTGTCAACGACGCCAAAATAGCGTTCTTAGCCGCGCTAATTTGAAAGCACCGCACACGATTTCAAAATTGTGCCAGCTAAAAGCTTGGTACAATGCGCTAACATGCCTGTAAAATTGTATAGGTAGATCGGGCCACGGAGTTGCAGTTCATTGAAGCTGTCCTCACATTCACTTTCTCTC